ATTTTCTCAGTGGGTCCCGATTCCGATCCGGTAGCAAATACATTTGCGAAACAACTGCCTTTGCACTGTATCATTTGGAGGCGTTGGGGTGGCTGTTATCAAATCCCACCCCTCCTGTCTGAGCGCGTGCTCTTCCACCTGCCCTGGTGCAACTGGTAGACCTTCAGGCCACCAATAATCTATTTATCCTAAATAAATAGATTGAGAGGTGGTTAAGGTGTCACCAGTCTACTGCCGAGTAGTCACGTGTGCCCGTCTAAAGAATGGAATGGAATGGAATGAATGAATAAAAAACAACATTTTGAAAGACCGTTGAGACTTTGAAGTCTACCTACCATCCTATTGCCCCGGGGTAGGATGACGGGAGAGATATGCTCCGCACTAAACGCTTCACCTGCCCCCTTTGCCTTTTCATGAGTTCTGTCTCATGTGAGGCTCGGACGTGGATTGTTGAGCGACAGGAGGTTTTAGTCGGTTCGACTCCGACATACCCCGCCCGCCATCCCTAGTGGAGGGTGGGAGGCCGGCGATTTCCTCCTGACCATAAAAAAAAACCTATTACCCCGCCATACATCCATAGCAGCAATACATAACTACCTACACTAATAATTATGTCTATATAGATAATAAACCTGGCATGCAGAGAGAGTGAACGCGGAAGGACATTGACCTGCGTGCCGCATGACCGCACTGCGAATCAGTACCGCCATCTATCGTAATCACAGATAAAGAGTCATATAATTTGAAATATCGCGCGTGTACGAGTTATTCGATACAAGCGTCGAGATTTAAATATTAACACAATATGATTACATAACAATTAAATTACTGATTAAAATTACTTTTATGGTTAAATTTCGCGTTATTTATTGTTATTGGATATAATACATTATTTCCAACGTTTCCAATCCTTTACAGTTTTCGTAGTCACATACGATTGTAATTTCCATCATAGAACTACTTCTGTAAGTATGTACAATAAAGATATTTATGTTGGTTCGTTTGTTTTGACGAAATATGAAAATAAAAAAGTTTATTTATATAATACTAGCTGACTTCGTAGTGCCTCATTCGATAAATAAAAGACCTAAACTTTTGTATAAAATAAACCTAAAACAAACAATAGGAATCCGTCCGACGGGGGACACATCAAAGGAAAAACTTTTTTTTTTTTCATATTTATCAACCTTTTAAGCCTTCTCTGAACTTCCACAAATAATTCAAGACCAAAATTATCAAATCGGTCCAGCCCTTCTCGAGTTTTAGCGAGACTAACGAACAGCAATTCATTTTTATATATATATAGATAAGACGTCGTAGCCTAAAGGATAAGACTCCCGGGGTATTCGTATCGAGCGATGCAAATACGTCGATGTTCATATCCCGCAAGCAGCTACCAAATCTTCTAACCAAACATATTACGATGATGAGTCAGAGTGTATTGTTGTGAGCACAGCACCGTTCTCCCACCCATTTCGACTACGACCTGAGAGTTCGACTAGTGTGCTTAATGCGAGTTTTTTAACGTTCTCGATAGCGTAAAAGTTAACTCAAATTTGTATGGAGTTCGAACGTTCGCCTATTTTTGCCGCTAGAGGCGCTGTTCCAACTGCATACAAATTTAAGTTAACTTTTACGCTATCGAGAACGTTAAAAATCTCGCACTAAGCGCACTGATATATCAAGGTAAGCGGTCGCATTTAACACCAAATAGACCTTTCGCTTGTTCGATCGATCGACTCAATCTTATGAGGATGAAGCACCAATTGTATTGCATAACTATTTTTTTACTTACATTCAAACCCTGTCCCACATTTGCGGCAGGAAGTCGTCGTGGCCTAACGGATAAGACGTCTGGCGCATTCGTGTTGAGCGATTCACCGGTGTTCGAATCCCAGGCGGCTACCAATTTTTCTAATGAAACACGTACTCAACAAATGTTCACGATTGACTTCCACGGTGAACGAATAACATCGTGTATTCAAAATGAAACCCGCAAAATTATAATTTGCGTAATTATTGGTGGTAGGACCTTATGCGAGTCCGCGCGGGTGGGTACCACCACCCTGCCAATTTATACCGTGAAGCAGTAATGCGTTTCGGTTTGAAGGGTGGGGCAACCGTTGTAACTAGGTATACTTGAGACCTTAGAACTTATATCTCAAGGTGGGGGGCGCATTTACGTTGTGGATGTATATGGGCTCCAGTAACCACTTAACACCAGGTGGGCTGTGAGCTCGTCCACCCACCTAAGCAATAATAAAAAATAAAAAATAAAAGAAATAGTCTGGATATTAATGCTAACCCGTGCAGGCTCACGTAATATAAAGTTTAGATAAAGATAATATTGTTAAATAATATAAAAACTAATACTGATTGTCAATCCGTTTACTTCGAATTAAATTCAGTCCGAGATGAGGATATATCCGTAACTGTCGATGCGAACTAATTTAAAATTCAATATACAAATGAAATATGACAGAAAGAGATATCATTAACAGACAAACTTAGAGACCCCGTCGCGTTTTAATAAACAATAAAAATAGTGAAATAATTAATTCGTCTCAATTAAAAATAAACGAAGCAATAAAGCAACAAGTTATAAAAATTCAAATTTAATCAATGAATATTTTAGAAAATCCAAGGAAAATTTGTTTTAATATTAAAAACACCGGTGACGACCTCCACACTGATTTTTAAAATATTCATTTTTAAAGCTAAATATATTATGAGTAAACAGCCGCGAAAATAATGCCTATAACAAAAAAAGTTTACTCCTAAAAACGCAACCGCGCAACGTGAGAACAAAACATCAGCTGACGCCCGGGTTAATGACCTGTTATGACGTGACCGCGTTGAACAGAAAACAATTGTTTAAGATTACGTATTTACTGAACGATATCGTAGCCTGGTTTGTGGTCTTCTCTTTTTCTGCCATAGCACATAGTATACCAGCACCAGAGAACGAAAGAGAGAGAGAAATAGAGAAAGAGAAAGAGAGAGAGAGAGAGAGAGAGAGAGAGGGAACATACTTTATTGTACTCTACAACACAACATTTGAAAAAACAGTCAACAAGTAGATACGTTTGCACAATATGCGGTCTAATCGTTAAAAACAATCTCTTGCAGAAAACCGCTTAATTTAGAGAAATTCTAACGAGCTAATTTCCTCGTCTAATACAATGAAAATAATCCATAAAAAGGTGGTTTAAGATATATGTTGTGATTTTTATATCTCGCGACCCATATAAAGCGGGACTACCGTTGCGTCCTTTGAATTATAGGATTAATGTCTGTATTAAAATATAGGGAAATAGAAATCCTAAATATACAAATACGCCTATAAAATGTAACGAATATAAGTATGTAATAAGTTGTTCCCCTCGCGTTGCTGATGTCCTTGGTAAGCGGTGAACACTTACCTTCAGGTAAACTCGTCTGTCTACGCAGTCAATAAAATGATATACGGACCAACAAACAAAATCTGTTAATAAGGATATATAGAGCTATTCAAATGGATGACTTTAATATAATTTATTTATTAGATTTAATTCTAAATACTTCCGTTGATCGTTCTACATCAAACATGAAAACTATTTCGTGCCGTTTAAGTGAAAAATTAAAATAAATTCACTTACACTTTTTTACTGGTGGTAGGACCTCTTGTGAGTCCGCACGGGTAGGTACCACCACCCTGCCTATTTCTGCCGTGAAGCAGTAATGCGTTTCGGTTTGAAGGGTGGGGCAGCCGTTGTAACTATACTGAGATCTTAGAACTTATGTCTGAAGGTGGGTGGCGCATTTACATCGTAGATGTCTATGGGCTCCAGTGACCACTTAATACCAGGTGGGCTGTGAGCTCGTCCACCCATCTAAGCAATAAAAAAAAAATTACAATTACATTTGTAAGACACGATTATTGTTTAACTAACGTAATCTCTTTCAATACGTTTTTGTGTTATAACATACCTTGCTTTAATTGTATTTTTTTTTCTCAATAACTTTTTTTTGTTTTATTGCTTCGGTGGGTTGCGGATCTCACGGCCCGCCTGATGTTAAGTGGCTACCGGAGCATAGGCATCTACAAACGTAAATGCCGCCACCTACCTTGAGATAATAGTTCTAAGGTCTCAGTTTTTACAGTACAACGACTGCCCCAGCCTTCAAACCGAAACGCGTTATTGCTTCACGGCAAAAATAGGTACAGTGGTACCTAACCGTGCGGATTTACAAGACGACCTGCCACCAGTCTAAGAACAATCTTTTGTTTTTTACTGTTAACCAGTAAAACCGGGTCACGTTCTGAGGTGACTATCGCCAACATGAACTTATTGAACCCTCAGACACAGCCCACTGAGTTTCTCGCCGGATCTTCTCAGTGGGTCGCGTTTCCGATCCGGTGGTAGATTCTGCGAAGCACGGCTCTTGCTAGGGTTCGTGTTAGCAACGTCGTCAGGTTTGAGCCTCGTGAGCTCACCTAATAGTTAAGGTTCCGCTGAAATAGCCTCTCAAGGCTATCAGCTTAGGAAGGAGAAAAAAAAAAAAAAAGAACTTATTGAAACTACTCGCACGCCACCTATCGTACATTATTGTAACATAGCCTTTCCATGGAATGCCAGCAACGACTGTGCCAAGTTTCATTACAATCGAATAACCGACTTAGAAATCCACAAAGGACAAACAGACACAAACAAAAAAACAAAACATAATTGATATAATGTCACATCACAAGCTAATGTTATCTTCCTAATTAGTTGTGTGTTCATGCATCGCTTAATGAAGTATAACTCATAATAATGAAAAATGACTCAACTAATTTCTCGAAATTTATATGCCTGTAATAAATTAAAGTATCAAGGTAAGAAATAATCGAAACATATCCCAATAAAACACATTTTGCTTTCACAAAATATAAAAAAATATTTTTTTTTATATTAAATTAAAATTAGTTCGAAGACGGGAATAAAACAAAAATGTATAAATAAAAAAAAACAGTTTAATTTTTATTTTCATGGCATTAACAAAGTTTCTTCTTCACTATAATACATCGTTGGTACTGACATCGATATTCGTTTAAACACTAATATTTACAATTCTGATGCACTAAATTAATTACTAAGACAAATATTTTACATTTACTTCCGCATAATGTATACAACAAATAATTTACAAAATCTCATTTAAAGTTAAGAACGCTATGAGGGACAGATAGACCTCAAGCGAGCGGCAAACAATCAAAATCAACAGACAAGATAAATGAAACAAAATGAATAAATCAGTCACAGCGGGACTAACCTAGTCATCTACACGCAGATTCCTACGGGAAATAATATATTTTTGGTACCAATCTCACTTCACATACCTAACTAATGAGCCGGCGTTATATTATCTTATTTTATATAGAGATGCATCAAAAACAAAAAATAAATCACAGAATGAATTGAAGGGATGCGATGCCCGACGGGCTTAGTGTGCTCACGTGCGTACAGACCACTGCCCGACGTGCACTTCATACTCAATAATTCAACTATAACTCAAAAAAATCAATAAATAATGTCATAATGTCTTTTGCACTGTCTCTAACACTTAAAACTGGGTCTTCTTGGTTGCCGAACCCTGAAGGCTTCCTTCAAGGTAGGCAGGTTGGTCTTCAATATATGACAGACACCGGCCGCCTGAGCTGGTCGTCGTGGGGACTGTGCTGTGTGGGTGTCGCCGGAGATACAGGCGACGAGGGTGCCATACCGTACTGGTGGAACAGCGGCGAGGAAAATGGCTTTGGAGGAGCCGCCGGTGAAGTGTACAACGAAGAGTAGAATGACGACACTACCGCCGCAGCAGACGATGAGACCGTCGGCAGCTTTTCAGCCGTCGGTGCCATCAGCTTGGAGAACTGCAAGTGATCCAGCTGATGTGGGAAGTACGGCGGTACGGCAGGATACGGTAACCCATCCAGTGGGCCCACGCTGGGAGCGGGACCGGCGAAATACGGCAGCGGGAAACTCGGGAACGCACCGGCCCCAGGAGCTCCTCCTTGCGTCGGGGGCTTGGGCTTCCTGCGCGGCCTATACTTGTAGTCCGGATGCTCCTTCATGTGCAGAGCTCTCAGCCTCTTCGCTTCATCAATGAACGGTCGCTTCTGCATCTCGGAAAGCAGCTTCCACTCCGCTCCGAGCCTCTTAGATATCTCCGAATTGTGCATTTTCGGGTTATCCTTGGCTATCTGTCGCCTCTGCAAGCGCGACCACACCATAAACGCGTTCATGGGTCTCTTGATGTGGCCCTCGGACTGTGGAGATGTAGCAGGAATCTGCTGCGGCCCGCTTGGATAGTCCGGCAACATCCCGGGATGCATAGAAAAGGCGTACGGGTGATGGCTCAAAGTCGACATGATTTAAACGTTCTAAAGCCGTTGTAACATGAACTGTGTGTTGTATTATGGCACAATGTGGTAAACGAACACAGACGAGAGTGTGATTGTGTCGCGTCGAAGACGTGCGATAGACTGACGAGCGTTCGGCGTGCTCGTGTGGGTCCAGGCGCGCGGGGGGCGCGGTTTTTGGGGCGTTCCGGCCGCGCCAATAGGGGGCGCGCGAGTAAAGCCTGCGCCCCTCCTTTATCGCGCTGTTGTTCTCTTCTTCCCCCACAATGGGCCGCGTACGCTCGTCTCGCTCGAGACAATAGCCCCCGCAGGCCGAGCAGCTGTTCGGGCTCGATGGCTGATGTAACTGCTGTAATAGAATACATTGTCGCATTGTTGAATTTTTTGGTTCGATATTCAAACCGATGCAATATAAACAAGAATGTTTCAATGTCAATTTTATTTTGATCCGTGAATGAGTACGTACGACTACGTAAACAGGTGTAGGATTTTATTGACGTATCCGAGTATAATAACCACACAAATATTTACATTAAATTACCGAATATTCTGGTAGGTCTATTTTTATGATTACCTTCTAAATTCTCTAAAATAAATATCTGTGATGCGTGTACCTTATAACCATCATTTTATCTAAGTTGAGATGCCAACCTGACTCTCACCCTTGCTTACTTTATCGTGCATCTTTGATGTTTTAATATGGGTATATATAGGATTACCTGCGACGAAGGGCTCGACGAGCGAATTAACCCATAGACGCAGCATTCTCGCCGGATCTTCTCAGTGGATCGCGTTTCCAATCCGGTGGTAGATTCTGCGAAGCATTACTCTTGTTAGGGCCAGTGTTAGCTACACTCCCGGTTTGAACCTCATGAGCTCACCTACGCGCCAAGGAGAAGCTGAAATAGCCTCTCAAAGCTATCAGCATAGGTAGGATAAAAAAAAAGATTGATGTTTCAAAATGGGTAATATGATTATGACAAAATTACAGGGTTAGTCAAATGTAGGTAATTGAACACAATTTGAAATATACCCGAGAATGAAACCATTCGTGCTCAAGTTGCTAACGAAAACTCTTCTTGTGAATAATGATTTCTATAAAGCTGCAATGAAATAACTCCTGAGCTTTTTAAAAATCGCACACATGATTAGAAACAATTAAATAAGGAATTCTCAATTCGGAAGGTCAGTATGGCTTTTCTACTCATTAGGTGATTTTTACTGGTGGTAGGACCTCTTGTGACCATCACCCTGCCTATTTCTGTCGTGAAGCAGTAATGCGTTTCGGTTTGAAAGGCGAAGGAGGCGTTGGAACTATACTGAGACCATAAAACTTATATCTGAAGGTGGGTGGCGCATTTACGTTGTAGATGTCTATGGGCTTCAGTAACCATTTAACACCAGATGGGCTGTGAGCTCGTCCAATCATCTAAGCCTTTAAAAAAAATTAAAAAATAGGATTTGTAAAACAATATTTTGATCACATCGAGAATAGTACAGTTAGTGAATTAACATAAAATGCTCTTACAATGAGAGATGTTTACGGTAACAACAATGGACAACTATCAGCAACCACCGAGAGACCGTAGGTACCCGACCGTCTGCTCCAAGGCACCTAATTGTAGCATAAACCGTAATAAATTTTTACAGTTTTCTTGAAAATCGTTTTGAATACGATGCCCCCATAAGTTTCGGTCCCCATAACAGCACACCATAAAAGCTCATTCACGACAAATCACGAGCTTTTGTAACGAATGCGGACGCTTTTGTTATTACATTACAACTTTTGCGAGTTGTTTTCTTAAGAAATCGTTTATTGTTTTGCGGTGATAAAACAATTATGTCACTTCATTTTTGCATTGTTTAAATCGTTTTGTTTCGGGAAAGTCTCAGCTTTTGTATATTTTTTTGTTTGTTTTAGTTTAGCTTTTATTACAGCTTCGCGATGTAATAACAAAACAAAGCTTTAACGGTTTTACGTGTTAAAATGATTTAATAAAATTGAATAGAAAAAATATGATATTTTAAATTACAAATTAATTAGTGATACCACTAGCTATGTATGATACGGAAGCGATGTAATGCGATCCATTAACATCCCTATTGAAATCAGAGACTCTTAGAGAAAGCTTACACAGTCAGCCAGCTCTACTGGTGGCAGGACCTCTTGTGAGTCCGCACGGGTAGGTACCACCACCCCGCCTATTTCTGCCGTGAAGCAGTGATGCGTTTCGGTTTGAAGGGCGGGGCAGCCGTTGTAACTATACTGAGACCTTAGAACTCATATCTCAAGGTGGGTGGCGCATTTACGTTGTAGATGTCTATGGGTTCCAGTAACCACTTAACACCAGGTGGGCTGTGAGTTCGTCCACACATCTAAGCAATAAAAAAGTAAAAAGTACTACACGAAACAAAAACACAAACCAGGTGTAGACAGGTGCGGCCCATGGACACTTCTAAATGGATATGTACAAATAAACTAAACATTTTCTTTTTAAATATTTTGCACTCATAAGAATTCTTAATGTTTTAAAACGCGATGAAAAAAACCTTATCAACTCTGCTCTAGACATTTTAAACATTTTTACACGTATAGCGACATCTGTCTATTACAATGGGAAACCTGAATGATGATTACATGTATTGAAAATCTTTGATTTTTTTTCCTCCCTGTCGTAGTAGCCTAAGGGGCTCAACTTCGCGCGACCGGTGGGTGAGCTCAATTCTAGTGAATTGCTAACACTAGCCCTAACAAGAGCAGTGCTTCGATGAATCTAGTGCCGGATCGGAATCGCGACCCACTGAGAAGATCCGGCGAGTAACTAGGTGGATTGAAACCTTTAAATCTACACATGTAGCTACTGAACAAAATCAATTGATTCCTGTCTATGAGAACCTAGAATAGCCCTTCAAATTACCAGCGAATAAGTAGGGAAAAAGAAAACAATTGAAATCCTATTAATAATGTTCTGGTACATAATTCACATTAATTATTTTTCGAAATTATGGCTCAACAGTTCTTGTAATTACAAGCATATCTTATATATCGTACAACGTGCGTGATTTGTTCCCCTTTATTTATTATACATATAATATAATACCGTGCGCTATGACAACAATGTGTCTATGACCTGATAGCTTGAACAACGACTAAAAATATAATAAAAATTCAACAACATTTAATTCAATCTTAATTCACCGTAATTAATTTAGATATCAGCATTATTAATGCCAGTGAAGACAGTTTCACGTTTACTTATTTATTTATTACACTTCATTTAAAATTTACATTGGCGGACTTAATTCCTAAGGCATTCTCATTCAGTCAACCAAAGGTAGTGCAGAGAAAATAGTGGTAGTTGTAATGAGAGTTATATTAAATTACAAATACACACACAAAACACATATAAGCGTAAATATATGTACATACTTGTATATACACAAATACATATACACGTATACATGTAATAGATTATACAGTATTCAAAGGAATATTTATGAATGTAAACGTAAAAAAATTCACTCGACTATATTCAATATCAGTAATTAAAACATCGCACCTAATTACTTATTCGACGCCGCTGACAATGCGTCGCTCCCAATGGCACAGTGGAGGCTGCAGCTAGTTAGTAGGCACAAAGCCAGGCCGAGCACAATATGGCTTAATGCCTATTCGCGACACCATCCTATCTTAATTTACTCAAATTTCCCTTGACACCGCACCAGACTTGTTTGTGGTCGATTTTTTTTTACGTGAAGGGCGGGTTGAACTAATTTTCGAATTTTGATTAAATAATTACGTTAACTTAAATTTTTGTTTACGTTTTCTTACACCGATATCAGTGGAGATATTGAAAAATTATTACCTTTTTTAATCACAAGCAGCTTAGTTAAGAAACGTCTTAACGACTCGATTGAGAACTAAATGCAAAGTATAATATTTGTACTGTATATTAGGTATTACTTTATAAAACAATTTGCCACTTTAACAAATAAATTATTTGTTAAAAATTACTTTAACCCGTGTTTAATTGAATTTTTACAAAATTTAGAATGTAACTCGACTTTAGTCAAGCAAGGAGCATACTCGATATATACATAAAATATGTATGGCGGAGCATTCGTGGAAATAGCTGTGATATATTAGATTGGAAACGTCAGGTTAATCACCTGGGTGGAATCGGAGATGGCGCTGCGATCGTAATTCTTTATGGGTAGAGTTGTTATTAACTCGTTCAATAGAGAATGACGTCTGGCAAGTGTCAGTGAATCTGTGGATGACGTGTGACATTTCAAGAGCTTAGTCTATGACGGTGGGATTACTAGACAGTCATTTGAAATTTGAGAGAGGAGGCATTCTCTTTGGAGGCACCATTGCGATAGCATGCGACTGCGATTGCTATTATTTAATTGTGTTCTTATTCCAAGTCTAACCTACAAATTACTGACCACGAGGACACAGGCGATGATCGGGAAGAACTCAACCCGATATGTATATAATCAATATACGAGTATAATACACACAAACCAGAGTCTAACAAAATTTTGCATAATTAACCCAATGTTACATTTCTATGCACTTACGTGTTAATTCATACACAATATTCAAATTGCGACTGAATGAATTTAATATCCGTAACGTCGGTAATTACAAAATCAAAAATGTATATGATGTGTGGTAGCCGACGGACTGATGATGCCAGCAGCACGACCTACTGAAGGAAGCTTTTTAAACATCGTTTAAGAGTAACCCGCGATAAAAGTTTTTGTTCGATGTTTATCAAAATAAACTGTGCGACCGAACCATTCCATCGCACTGTATGCTCATATACGAACGGGGGAGGGAGAACGCTATTATTTTTCAGGTAGAATGCACTTGGTTAATGGCCTCCAATGATAATACGGTATTGTGACCCACCCGACGCCGTTAAGGCAATCTGGATAATGAAACCATTGTTTTATGTGAAAATTCATTCATTAATTTTTATTATTATTTGTTTTAATAAACGTAATGCGTTCTAATTTTTTTTTGGTGGTAGGACGTATTATGAGCCCGTCTGGGCATGTAACAGAATCGAGCATATTTCTGCCTTTCTGCCACT